ATCCACTCAGCTCCAGAATTGCACCATATAATCATAAATGAAATCCATAAATCAATATGGAAACCAAGCAGAATCGTAGCTAATAATAATAATAACAATAATAACAATAATACAAATACCAATACCCTTCTAAGTCAAAATATAGCAAACTCTGATTCCAACATCAACCTACTAATAAATAACAAATTCTATATATGCCTGGCAATACTTTTATATCAATTATAACACCCCACACCACATTCTTGATTCATAGTCTAGAGGTCTTTAACCTATCTAGCTAAGGTTAAGGTCTAGAGTAAAATAGCTTTATTCCCACTTCCCCGAAAAAATTATATATACTTTGTAAAAATCTGCATAATAAATAATAAAAAAACTAAGTAAAAGACCTCACTTAAAAAAAAAAAAAAAAAAAAAAAAAAAAAAGCTATTAATAATTATTTAATACTATAGTTTTTAGTAATAACTAAAAAAATATATATATATATATTTATAGTATAAAACTTTGATCTACCAATCAAATTGTATAATTAAATTTGTAAAACCACCTTTCTAACCTAACTTATGATTTCACGTTACACAATCAGGAGTATGTATATCCAATGACGAAAAATTTATTCATATAATTGGGTCTATCTAGCTAGTAACGTAAGTAAATTCTATGAATTTTTTTTTCTTCGATTATACAGTAATTTTACAAAAAAAAAAACAACCACTTATATAGATTATCATATATACATATATATATGTATATATATTATTTTTTCCTAGCGTGAGTTTTGCTGTAACATAGTCTATAAATTTACTAGATCTAGTAACTTTTGAATGGCGAATAATTTTAATCAAGTTGGACCAGTTCCTGGAACGATCCGAGTTCCGACGAACGTTTATCCGGGTTTTCCAAACGGTCAAAGAGTAATAGTGAGACCTCATTTGACTATGCAACCAAATGGTGTACACATCAATAGTGCTTATATGCAAGGCATACCCTTTGCGAATAATCCAATAAATCTTATTCCCAGAAGGATTCCAAATCAACCAAATCTACTCAAAGGGTAATTATTTTTAGTTATTTGATAATATATGAACATTTTGGGTCGGTTTGATGCCTGCCAATTCAACCTATGATTATATTAACAAAAATTTCAGAATTCCGAGAGAAACTTTTTTTATGAGGCTTTTGAGTTTTGCAGAACATTTTGCAGAACATTTAGGGGTGAGTTAGTCTATAGAAAATATTACGATATTTATTCATTTATATTCAGCATTTAAATGCATTCATTATTTTGAAAAGGATAATATTCTTCACTTGAAAGATTTGACCAGTCGTTTCTTTGCTGACGATACTTCGATGAAATACACACTTTGGTCACCACACAGTCAAAAGGAATTTGGTATTATAATCTATGTAACTTTTTAAAAATTTTGTTGTTTTTGTTATTATAGTATAATAACTTTATTTTAAATCATAGAAATAAAGTACCAAGTTATACCTAGGTTTTATCAAACCTTCTTTGAATCGGGAGTAATGAGGATCCAGCTCGTATTGGGACATCCGCGTCCTTCGCAATACGCACAGGTGGAGTGCCCATCTGCTTCAATAGTATATTATTATGGAAATGGAATACAGGTTTGTTATAAATATTTATATACTTATTGATGTCTCGATTATAAAATAAATCAGTTTGCATAGTGTGAAATGAACAGTTTTCAACTTTTGTTATTTAGGTTGTTGCACCTGGGCGTTTGACCGTCCTTTTCAATCCCCAATTAAAAATGACACATTTCGAATTTGTAACAACGAGATTCACAGAATTTTTACCAAAGCAACGATTCTGCTTGGTTTCCATATTGATTTATGGATTTCATTTATGATTATATGGTGCAATTCTGGAGCTGAGTGGAT